GCTCGATCGTACCTGCGGTGGGGTAGTGGGCCTCTGGCGGCAGGTGCATACCGGGTTCGAGACCCAGCTGAGCCTGCAGCTGCAGGTGGGCCGCCTGCTCACGGTACTTGAGCGACTCGAGGCTGTGCGAGAGGATGTGCCGCGCCAGCTTGCTCTGGTGGAGGAACGAGGCACCGCAGTACATGCACGCAAACATCCGCTCATCCACACCCATCAACTCCTGCAACCAAACAAACAAGAACATCAACTTCTTGTCTTCCCTTTAGCTCGTCCGTAACACCCCCACAGAGTAATAATGCTTCTCGCTCTCCGCTTTCGCTTTCGCTTTCGCTTACGCTTACGCTCTTGCTCTCCCCCACTCTTTCACTCTCACTCTCTTACTCTTTTCCCTTTTTTCTTTCTTTTCTTTTTTTTTTTTTTTTTTTTTTTTTTTTTTTTTTTTTACATCTACCTATCTATTTATCTATTCATCTATTTTGTTTGCAAAAAAAAGTTCCCGTTTTCATTTCCTCTTTTTACTTTGAAGTGTTTTTTTTTTTTTTTTTTTTTTTTTTTTTTAATCTATTTAATCATCTATACATCTACCTATCTATTTATCTATTCATCTATTTTGTTTGCAAAAAAAAGTTCCCGTTTTCATTTCCTCTTTTTACTTTGAAGTGATCGTTTCAAGCAGAGAACAGATATCTCGTTCCGTCTTTCTCTTTCCCTCCGTCACTTATGATACGTGGACGCTATATGCACGTTCCCGCTACTTCGCCGCGACAAATCGCTCGTTTCGACGCTACTCGACTCACAGCGTACACAGATACACATATATCGTATATATACATATATGTATGTACGAGCCGCGACTCGCCGGGCTTCAATCGGCGCACGTTCGAAAAAACTCGTGTCTCACTTTCTATCTTTTCTCTTTTTTCCACGCTCTTTCTCTCTCTCTCTTTCTCTCTCTATTCTCTTTCTTTCTCTCTCTCTCTCTCACACACATTCTCTCCGTTTTTTTCCCGTTGCCTCTTGCGTGTTCTCTTTGCTCTCTCAACTTTTAACTATTTCTGCTTGACTGTATTCTCTCTATCGCCACTAGACCGTTGGTTAAGATATAGAAAAAAAAATGTAGTAGAGAAAAAAAATAAATAAAGAAAGAACAGGCAAGGCTTGTCTTCGCGAGACCACTACTTTGTAAGAAGCGCGTTTTTGGCATGACCGGATGTTACGCGTGTACGCGAGGTTCTCCTCTGTCTTTCCTTCCTCCTCTGTATCATCATGATCATCAACCCCTCTCGTTTTTCTTTTCGGTGGAAAAAAAGAAGTCCCTGAAGGCCTGACGAGAAAATGATAACTCTCGACGGCATGTAAGACGGTAGCACAAGAAGTTGACGCTCATTTTTGTTTGGCACGACGCGCACCCCAGAGATATCATATGTATAATGACATAAGGAAACTGTCTGATTTGTGTGTGTAAAAACAACGTATAAGGAACGTGTTTTATATATACACACGTATATGGGGATTTTTATACGTGTCTATATATGTATAGACGCGTATATGTGTCGTATCTGGGATAGTGGGTGACACATGTACGGGCCAACTGGCAACCCCCACAGCCTCGCTCAAGAACAACAACAGCCCACCCGTCACCCCTCGTCCCTCCTCCGATTTTTCTGTTCTTTTTTTTCATTTTCTTTTTGCGTATCTCTTTTTATCTTTATATTTTCCAAAAATCTTTTTGCTTATACACGATCATTGGTAGTAACCGGGGCCAAGATGGCCACTGCGGCGTAAAAAGGGCTCGCCGCAGCAAAAGGCATTGCACTCAATCCAAAAAAACGACAAATCGAAATACAAATATTACAAAGTAACAAATGGTAATATAATGAATGTCAATATAATTTGTATATGTATAAACGATAGATATATATATGTATACATATATATGTATATCGAACGTGAGAATATATATATGTAACTTGCACATAATATCAGTACATGTATGTAACGATATATATGTATTGCGTAATATATATGTCGTGTATATATATGTATATACATATATATATATATATAAAAATGTAGTAAAAAACAACCATGGCCAAAAACGAAGGTCAACTTCTTGACAGTGAGCTAGCAAGACAGGCTGGCAGGATGGGACGAACAGGAAGAACGTAGTACGTGTTACGCGCCGGTTTTCCTTCGATTTCCAGAGGAAGAAAGAAACGTCCGAAGGTACCGTCACGGATCACGATTTTATCAACGTGATTCGTTTCAGCCCGTCGAACCGTGGAAATCCAATTGGAAGGCAGGATTCACGATTCCAAGGACCATCGGGATGGGGGCAGGTTTCACGGTTTCCAAAGGATCATATGGGTTATTACTCGACTTTCTTTTTCCGTTTTCACGAGAACAGAGAAGAGGCAGGAAAAGTTAGAGCAAGAAGACGAAGAGATACAAGAAGATCGATGGAAAAACAGCGCGCTAAGGAATCGACAGACGCACGAAAATAGCGAAAAGAGAGAGGTTGGACAATCGCGTAAATGGATTAGTTAGAAAAGAACGAGAGGAGCGAGAGAAACAGAGGAATGAAAGAGAAAGACAGACAGAAGACAGGACGTATGCACGGAGCATGGAGAAGTGAATTAGTTTGGAAAAGAAGATAATACGTTCGTCAAAGATAGACGAGCATGCACGATTGATCTCCTTCTGCGCAGCGCGTCTCGACGAAGATCTTTCTTACGGGGCACTTAAGCTAGAACGATCGGCAAGCGGCTAGGTCCAATTTGTCATTACGCTTGTCTCTTTAGCGAGTCTGTTCTTTTCTTTTTTTCTTTTTTCTTTTTTTCTTTCTTACTTTAAACGTCCTATCACGTCTATGCAAGATTCTCAAAAAAGGGAACACGAGATATCGTATATGCGTAAAGTCGGGTGTATCGTAACGTAAACCTCGAATCTCAAGTCAACGAAGGATGTACGTGTGTACTTCTGAACTGTTCTTCTCGTGAACGTCGATCGAATTCGAGCTCGATCAGGATCGAACTTTGCGCTCTGGTCAATGAACCGTTAACACTGTCACGTGATGCATCCTTGGAAATCACTAACACAAATACAAAAGTCCCATCGTACTTCAAAGGGGGGGGGGGATGAACGGTTTTTTCTTTGTATCGTATTCTTTTTTTCTTTTTTTTTTTTTTTCGTTATCGAACATCTCCGATCACACTCTACTCTCGGTCAGGACGACTAGCGACTCTGTTAATGACACGATCACTTTCAAAATTAGCGGGGAGAGCAGCAAACAGCAAAGCACTTGGGCACGCATGCAATAGACCCACATGCAAGTGAACTCGAAATATAATGTATGTCTGTCTATCTATCGGCGATGGATAGATAGGCAAACAAAAAATAGATATAAATAGATAGATAGATAAAATGGATCATGTTGAAACGTTGTTCGAGCTAATCGAACGACAAATTCGTCATTGCCCGAACGATCTTACGGACTCTTGTCAACACCAGTGGTGTCGTTAACGAGTAGCACGTAAACGAACGATTCGTCGTAATCTTCGTACGACACAAGATTCATCGAGATCCAACAAATTGTAGACGTTTCTATTTCTCTATTTTTTCTTTTATACTTTATTACTAATGTCTTAATATATTTTTCTTTCTTTTTATTTTTTTTTTTTTTTTTTGAAAGATTCGCATCAGCTCATCCACAATCCAATGGTAATGCCGTCGTGTGTATGCGATTGCAGATGAGTCGAGCGCGACCGGCGATACACAACCGGCGATAACCGTAATCGATATATAAATGCAGAGTAAAGAGAAAGTACGAGAATAAAAAGTAGTCAATAAATTGGAATATATAGTACGGAGAAAGAGGGAAACTCACCGGATCTGGTGGGAGTCTGTAATCCGTGGATATTTCGCTGCTCGCACTGCGCTCTTCGGTCGACCTTTCCCAGTCCATCTCTTTTTTTAACGACTGCAAACGAACATCGGGTTCACGTCAAAGTAATAATTGGATAGCTGTCGATGCTATTGGGAAAAGTATGAACTGGCTTGCCTGGGCCAACCGCGCCCCAAATCATTAGCATTTATGTATTGTACTACGTTCTAGAAGAAGCCCGAATACGATTAACTTGATTAATTATTCCAGACAGATAGACGATATTATGTAAACGGGACAAAGTTGTTCGATTGGAAAGCAAGCGGTTAAAAGTGTTTGTATGTAACTCTTGGCTACATTACTTAACGCGGAATAGAAATAACATGTAAGTTAAAAATGTAACGACCGATGTACAGTAGAACCTGCAGTATACGTATACGTCGTTCAAAAACTATATCGATCAAACGTATGAATTAAAAAATGCAAAATATTATTTTTATCCATACTTCTTACGAGAAATAATTTCATGGAAGTAAATCATTGATTCTTGAGATACTGGATACTAAGCATCTCGGAGGTAATTGAAAATTGCGAAATTTACGAAAAGAGAAGTTAATTTGTTTGACTTCAGAATGTTTTACACGTATCGCTATCTACTGGATTTTCATTGCTTATTGCTTCGCATGCTAATCAATAACATTCAAAAATACAAAATTTATGGTTTAAAATTTCACGAGTGTCTGTCGTATGAAATAACGTCGAATTTTTAATTCTGAATTCCACTTCTAAATTCGATGATGTTTAATTTGGATCCAGCGTTCAAGTCGGTATCATATACATATCGTAAATGTGCGTGATGTAGACGGTGGACGTGTTAATACACAGTGTGTAATAGCATCAAAGAGGCAACGTATGATACTAACTTTTGAAACGAAACGCAAGATACTTCAAAAGATGGGAAATGGTCAGAGTGACGCAAAGTCGCAAAAATGTATTACGTTGAAAGCATTCTCATTCCGTAGCACTTATATATACTATATAAGGTATATGATACTAGAAAAAGAAGTTTTACACAGTTTCAGATACAATTTAACGCGTCAAAAGGTTACCACGATTCAGCAACAGAAAGAACAAAAGTCCTACAAGTAATTAATAAAACATAGATAATTAATAGATTTTATTACACATTCTAGCGACACCGATACTGTACCTTTCGATGTATAGAATAATCTCTATAAGGAAAGATAAATATCTCGTTATATAAAAATTCTTTTATCTGACCGACGATGCTTTGTTCGGAAACTGAAGGTTCTACTATACACGTTGTAGAATGTCTGAAAATTAAACGTCTAATGCTTCTACTTAGCGTTATGCAGCTTTCGTGTTAAAAATTTGTTAACAAAATCGATTGCTCCGATCTCGTTTATTTGTAAAATTTGTTGCCAACGAATATTTTCAAATACAACCTCGCACGCGTTGTTTCTTGCGCAATGATACACATTTTCAGTGATGGAATAGAATACACGCACAACGATAAAATATAAAAATGTATCAGACATACAAAATTACAAGTATTACAGTCGAAAGAAAAGACTTCTGCAAATACTTCATAATTTCAAATCTATCCACAAAATTTTCCATTTTAAACGAAGAATGATTTGCAGGTAACAAGGATATAATAACTCGTTGTTTGATAAAATATTAAATATTCCTCAGCGATCTACTACTTTCAGAATCTACACGAATTAAATATCTCTGTGGTCTTCGTATATTTCATAAACCATTAACGTTTTATATTTCTCTTTTTAACACATTCGCTGCGTCTCGATCATAATAGTCGTTCATAGTAACGTGAATATTCCATCAGTTGGTCTCTTTCGCGGCAAATACGTTAAACATTCTGCTCGAATCTTTCAATCCACAGATATGCTATACAGATATAAAGAGAATAAAAATTGTACTCACAAGTGGAACTTGTTGGACCGGGGGTAACCCCGACGGACCCGCGAGAGGCTCTGTACTGTGCGGGGACGGAAGCCGGCTCTGTGGTAAGTTCAACGGTAGCACGCCAGGCGTGCTTCCTGTATTGTTACTTAGACTCATATCCGACGGTCCACTGTGCACCGAGATCGGACTAAGGGAACCCCTCGTTTCTTCTAAACTTGCGGCATCTTCGGAATCCCTCCTAGGTCGATCAAGGGCCAAAGGTCCTGGACAAGGGCTACCGGGTCCGGTGGGCGATGCCGGACAATCCGTCATGTCTACCGCCTCGGTCGACTCGCTGGTGGGTGGTTGGGCTACGTTTTGTTGGGGTTGCTCGCATTCTTTCACTCCTGCCGATGGCAAACCCGTGCCACCGGATGTATTTCCTTCCCTGTCTCTCTCCTTATTGCTCGCTTCCTTTATACTTTCACGTTCACGGTGATGTTCTCGCGATGTCTCGCGTTGTATACCCTCGGATGTGCTCGTGTGTTGTTGTTGTTGCTGCTGTTGTTGTTGCGGTTGCTGCTGCTGTTGTTGCTGTTGTTGCTGCTGCTGCTGTTGTTGCTCGTCCCTCGACGCTACCGCCGCGTTGATGTTCGTCATATCCGCTAGACCCTTCACCTTAAGGCTCTCCGCTGTCTTTAGGAGGGCCGATAGCTGGCAGTACTCGACGTTTACTTCGCCCTTGTACATGAAGTCGACGAGGGTACGTAGCTCGGCGAAACGTACGTCCTTTAGGATGACTATGGGGTGGCGGTTCGGGTGGTCGAGGAATAGGGCCTGGAAATAGCTGGAGCACGCGGAGAGGACTACCTTGTGGGCACGTATCGAAGGTCCCTCCGTGCACGCCAGTGTCACGTCCACCAGCGACTCCGACTCCAGCAGTTGACTGAACACACCCAGCAAGTTGCTCTGATGATTGTTCCACCTCAGGCAGTAATGCTCACTTCCCATGTCTGAACTGCACCCCGCAACCCTGCTGCAGAAGAAACATTTGTACCGGTCCGTGCGTTAACTCCTCGGCTCTTGTTGCGTTCATCTTGAACGTTTCTTTCTCTCTTTCGTTTTTTTTTTCGCTGTTCTTTTTCATCCCTCGTTTCTACTCTTTCTCTCTTTTCATATTTTCTATGCGTGTTTCTTTCATATTTTTTTTTTCTTTCCCTCATTTTACGCGTCGCTCGCGTGCTCATTGTCGGCCGCGCTTGTTCACTGCTTCGTTGTTGAAGTTTCCGGGGTTAGTTGCTCGCGCGACACCCGTGTGCTTTCATTCGCATTGGGAACTGCGCGTTCATCAGAGAGAGGTTTCGATCGCTCGGTTAAAAGGAAAGGGAACTGGGCGATCGGCGAAGCTTGGGATAAATTGTACGGTCCGGGTTAATTAGTTAGTCGATCAACATCCACATGTTCTGCTTTTGCGTAGCATTATCGCGTTAAATCCAATATTGATACTTCTGAGTTACGCGAATACTATTGTTTGACTCAGGTGATTTAAGTTGAAGCTATTTTATTTCCTATATATTCTACGTTGTACGCGATAAACGCTATTAAAACGAGGTATCGTTCGAACAAATAAGTCAACCCGAGTGATCGCGAGTCACCTACGATTCAACGATACCAAACTAGTTGAACAGTATCGATAATTTTACGCAATCGCGTAGAGTTAGTTTTTACGTTCCACATAGTCAATTAAGTTCTAATACTTGATTAATTAAAATAGTTCAAAGTAAACGTTAAATTAGAACATCTTGGATATCGTTTAACGAAGATGCAAACGGTACTTTGCAAGTTTCGTACCAGGAACGCAAAGAAGTTGATACGTTGGCGCTCGTGCTTGTGAAAATCAAGCTCGAGCATTGGTGAGTTTCGCGCGATGGTCGACTATAAAACACCCTTCTCGAGGCACCAATCTCTTGGCGAAGTACAAAAACGACTTTGTTCCAAACTCAATTATACCAACTACGCAAACGTGCTTGCAAATTATGAAAACGTTGCGTGAAAAATCCTTACAAATTGTTATAAGAAAAAACGTCAGAAAATTTCTATTTGAGAAATCTGAATGTTGAACGTGTTTGTTGCATTATAAAAAATACTCGAACGCAAATGACAGTTGCTGTTTTACCCCTTCCTACGACTCGTCCAACACTCCTGCTCGTACATCCACCTGCCAAACTAACCCAAAATTCCATCCACTGATTGCCGATGTGTACACTGCGGGTTTACGACACGATGTTATTACGGAGGGCACAGAGCAGATGCGCGATTTCGCAGCTACGAAGTAATATCCAAGCTTCGACCTCTGGCTTCGTAAACAAAAAAGATGAAAAACGATACATCCAAAATATTTCTAAAAAAAGTAACTTTTGTGCCAAAATATTTCTTCCATCGCATCGATGACAATCGTTTATTCCGTATGCGCGTATCGTATATTTAAAAAAAATGAACGATATCGTTATATACTTTCTCCTTTACAAACGTTGTTTCGTCCACCGCTGTATAATGTTAAACATACATTACGACCGTTTCTTCGGTGCAAAAGATTAACTGGAGTCACAAATACGTTTAAAAAATTGAAGTTAATTTATCGACTAAATTCTTACATCGTTAGTCATCGATAGCCAACATAGCGCCATTAGCAACCCAACTATCGGTCACCAATGACCCTCGCGATATCCAATTTATTCATCTTCTTCGTCCGTGGAAACATAGAGGATCTGCGTGAAAAATGTAAATTTTATTCCCAATTGCCGAACTTCAAAGCGATCCTAACGTTCGTTAGCCATTCGCATAGTCGCTGATAAAACACCTGTGATCGTGCCAAAACGATCAGACACCGTTACGCAACACGGCCGATCGTTCCTCCGCCGGTAAATCACGATTTCCTCGCGAAAAAGTACCGTGGACGTCTAAATTGGAATTCCCTGTCCGCATGGTGGAAAAGCGCGTGTAGTCGCGGCACCGTCGCTATCGCAATTTCCTGCGGCATAAATCAGCGTCCGCGGAAGCGCGAAGTACGCGCAGTCGTTCGTTCGTTGGTCGGAGAGGCGTCGCGGGATTTATTCGAACGCGGCGCGCGTTTCTTAACTACGCGCGGTCATCGTTTAATTCTGGCCACGGAACACGCATCCGCGAAAGATGCACGACCGATATCGGCTGACGATACCGCGCGCTCTTATCTTTCGTTATTTCTTGAACGATCGTGAGGCAGTCAGTTTGCTATTTATTCGCTGGCATGTCCAAAGTTTCGTTGAGTTCGTTAAGTTATACGCGTATGCATATGTATGAGTATATGTATGATTCATGAAAGCATTCAGACACTTGTAGAAACTTTTTATAACACTTATGAAATGTAAAATCTTTTATTTTATGGAATACATTATCCGCGCTGCACGAAACATCTGGTGAAATTTAAAAGAAACTCGCGAATGAATGACTGTCAAAGGTGACTCCGGTGAATACGGAGAATTATTTATATAATGGATAGTCGACTGTTCAAATATACTTTTGCGATTTTCAGATTTCTTTCAAACTTCGTCTATACGATCATGATAATTCGTGTTACGGTGCTAATGAAATTTCAAAATGTTACCCATTACACGTATAACATGTTCAAATACTTTGGCGAGCCATCGTACACGTTATTTGTATTTAGGCGATACGGAACCGCTTTACCAACGTGAATCTGCTATTTACCGTGATATTCCATTCATCGGAACGAAATATTAGCTGCTGTCCGATCAACGGAACTGGTGTTAATCGAATCCGCTTATCGGAACGTGAACTTGTACTATAACGATGAAAAATTACAATCACATAGTCAGGAGAATCGGTAAACTCTAATTATATGATCTATTTACCCGTCGATAAGTTTAAACAAACTGAGCTTCAGATATGTCTTGGAATTTCTTTAACTATTCGCATGACTCGTGTGTTGATCAGATTATCGTTTACCATCAATTTCTATAATCAATTAACAGAGAGTGAACTTTAATTCTTCCAAATACAAATACAATACAGCTTATTTTCAACAGAAAATAAGAGAGATATAGATAAGAAAATTACAATTATGCCCGAGTGATTGGAAATCTGACCGACGAGATAACGCGTCTTCTTCGTTCAACGAAATAAACTGGAAAGGTTTCAAAATCAAACCGTACATCCGACAGTTAAATTATTTTAAGTCTACCTTGAATTTAGGCAACATAACTAATCTGAACGAGACTTAGAACGCGTGAACACGGTACACGCACGTGTCACAGCCATGTGCACTTACACGTATGTAATTATCCGCGCCACGAAGCCCGCGTGGACGCGCGTGTTCGCGTGATATATCGGCGGATGGATATGCGCGCGCGATGGCGTGTGCTAGCACCGAGCGATGCTCGCGTGATTCCTCTGGAACCTCTGATAACGCGGCACAACCTCTACGTGATAATACACGGAACGGTGTATCGTAATAACAAAAGAAAAAGAAAAAAGAAAATAATATTTTAACGCGTGACAAAATTACCGTGGGATTACCGGTCGTTCGACGTTTGAATAATACGCCGAGAAATGCCTAACGCTTGCGCGTTACTCGACAACAGCCTTGTTATTTGGGCAATGAAACTTTTAATTAAACCGATTTACCAAGCTGCCTTGTATCGCTAGATTATGGAAAACAGCGGCAAGACGTTCATCATCACTGTGATTTTGGAATCGCAACAGAATTTCGATTATCTGAACTTGGTTCACCGCAGCGAAATCTTAGCGCATGATTAATCGATTAAAGATCAAGTGGGTCGACGAGAAGACCGTACCGATCGCCTTCGTAAATTTAAAAATCGACGAGGGAAACGATGCGAGGAATACTTTTTTTTTTCATTTACTGCCAGATTTATAACGACTGCTCTGTGAATAAGCTTGTGGAAATTAATCGGTTGTTCTCTTTCAGAGATCGAGCAATAGTGGCGCATCCAAGTAAGAAAGTTGGGAAAATTGAGAAGGATCGAGTACCTGATATTTCACGAAAGAAATATTAAGCGAATTTCTGGAATTAGCTTTCATAGTTGCGATATTAAAACGTAGAATTCGATAATGGAATACATCGATTGGAAAGAACGTTGAAACTAAATCATATTTTTTTGATGTTTCGCAGCAAGCTACTCTCGACACCTGTTCGTAATTTCTAGACTTGTTTCAAACTGTCTCGACAGAGTCACGAGAATCGGGTCTCGTTACGGTGCTGGTAAAATTTCAAAATGTTTCGTATATCGTGTAAAGAACAGCCAAAAGAGTTGGAATGCTTTTACGGACAACTATAGGTGCGTGAATAATTTCTAATAAAATTGTAAATAAAATCTAAAATGTTCAACAGGGAACAGATTTCACGCACTCCAACAACATTTGCAAACTCGCTGGCTATGCGTTCGTCCATGAGCCGCGTGAAAAACCGCGTTGAATATTCTTCGCGTGCTCCGGAAACTTCGGCGCGTTTTAATTAGAGCTTGCGGCTAAATTTGCCCGGCGGCTACTTCGCAAACTTTACCCGCGTGAAATCCGCCAGGAATGCTTACTATACACGCGTGTTGAGTGCCATGGAAGGAGAAAAGAAACGATGACGCCGCTAATTTGAGCACCGGCATCGACTGATACTCAAGGGGTGTACGAGCAAGAAAAATGATTTCATTAAAGTTAAACATCGGCTTTTGCGACTCTATCTCTGCCACCGTGCAGGTATCAAGCGTACTACGACTATCACGGTTATCGTCCATCTAAATATAGCAACATGCTGTAATTACATTGATCATTTTCAGACTATAACATTCGCTAGCACCGGAAACCTTCAAAGTTACGATGAATGTACAGCAACAACGTCATCGTTGAATACCGTGTGATTATTTCATCGAGATGCTCCAGCTTGTGTCAGCGACATGGTAAACAGTGAAACGTTACGCTGAATCATTAATAACCTACTTCCGAGTGAATCTTTTTCCGACAGTT